AATTTTCCATTTTATGACAGTGATAGCCTGGAATGCCTAGAAACATTTATTAATCTTCACAAAAGACCTATTCCTTAGCTTTGGAGGCTACATGGTAGACCCATGGTTAAGTGGAATGTGTGAGTCATTTCTTTCCCCTCCAATGTTTAGCTTAATGAATCTTTCAGGAAAGAATTTACTGAATTGTTGTATAACTGAATTGACTACAAAAGACCTGTACACACTTAATTGGAGGATTGTTTTAATTGTCTCTGCTTCCCAGGTTGTGAGGTATGTTTTAATTTACACAATCTGTTTGTTGCTGTTTTTACAAGGGAAAACTAACAAAAGATACATATTATCTCAATGAGTGTTTTTAATTATTAACTATGGTTATAATGATACTTTATATTTACAGATCGCTTTCAACCTAACAGCTAAACTTCTTGTCATTGAGTTGACTCATGGTGACCTCCTGCGTTACCAAGTAGAACTGCCCCATAGGGCTTCCTAGGCTGTAATTTTTATAGGAGCAGATTTCCACGTCTTTTCCCCCAGTGGGTCTTAACTGCCAATAGTTTGGTTAGAAGCCGAGTGCTTAACCGGTGTGCTACTGCAGGGGGAGGGGGTTCAAACTGCCCAACCTCTACATTAGTAGTTCAGCACAAGTTGTTTGCATCACCCAGGTACCTACATAATACTTTACAGTGCACAAAAAATACATTGTTACATGTTTTATATCTGATATACACAACCTACCCTGAGAGGTGAACAGGGACTGTGGTCTCCTTTTCACAGATTAGGAGACAGGGAGGTTGGATCATGAATGTCCTCTCCAAGTTATTATAAGTAGGAAGAGATTTGACTCTAAGACCAGTGTTATCTCCTCTTCTTGCATTTTGGATGTGAAGTCCCACAGCAAAAGTGGGGAGGGATTTTTGAGCACCTAGTAGCTTATATGTACTGGAAATATAGTTTACACATCTCATCTCATTAAATGTACAACAGCAGGGCAATTATCATCATCCCTGACTCAGGGGCAATTAAAACGATCATTTTACGGATGAGAAAGAAGTGTTCTGGGAGATAAAAGAAGTAACCTAAGCTAGTGTATGGTTGGGCTGGGATTTGACTAGGCTGTCCAACCCCAGAGCCACCTCACTTAACCATTGCTCTGGATTATCCCAGGAGAAAAGGTCACTTTGCATATTAAACATATTAGATGGAGATTAGAAGAACCTCTGAGACTTTCGCCCTAAGGATACCCTCACTTAACCATTAGTCTGGATTATCACCTCACTTAACCACCTCACTTAACCATTACTCTGGATTATCCCAGGAGGAAAGATTACTCTGCATATTAAAAATATTAGATGGAGATTAGAAGAATCCCTGAGACTTTCGCCCTAAGGATACCCTTTGAACTTGGAACTGAAGCTACTCCCAGAGGTCACATTTCAGCCAAATAATAGATTGGCTAATAAAAGAAACAATAACACCCATGACTAATGTGCACCCTTACACAGTGAACTATATGAGACCAAATGATCGACATTTATCCAAAAGCAAAGATGAGAAAGAGGGGAAGGGAGGCTAGATCAATAGAAACAGAACAAACAGATTGGAAATAATGAGAATGCTGACACCTTGTGAAAATTGTAACCAATGTCACAATTTGTATAACAATTGTTAAATGGAAACTTAATTTGCTGTAAACCTTCACCTAAAACACAATTTTATCTATCTATCTATCTATCTATCTATCTATATATGTGTGTTGTTGTTGTTGTTATGTGCCCTCGAGTTGGCCCCGACTCATAGCGACCCCTCCTTGGGTTTCCGAGGCAGTATCACTATGGAAGTAGATTACCCAACCTTCCTTATAT